CTTCTATTTGTAAAATTGCCGTTTTTCACTTCTAAACACACAACTTCATCAGATTAAATCAAAGATTAGAAATACCTCTGAATGCTGTTAAAAACATTTACATAGTTTCTCACCTCATACTTCCCAGCCACCATCATTATAAACGTGTTCAACCTAAACCCATTCCGAATTAAAAATAGATTCTCACATGCCAATACTAAACTCAAATCTTCTATCGTTGTAAAATAACCACAAAAAGAACAAACTATAAAAGACATTAGTAGTTCTACAACCCCTCATACTGTCCGCAACAATGAAGGTTACGTAAAACATATAATCGCAACGTCTGTCCACATTATATTTTCGTATATTATATATTATAGACCAAATATATCCGTCCCTGCATTACCCAATCGCAGTGTATGGGCCGATATTTCAGGTAAGGCCAAAAATTCACGACAATCCAAAATTTCCATTCCATGCATTTAAAACACCACCCCAATACTTAGAAGTTATCTAAAGATTTCAACTCCATTTCGGCTACCCTTTTGTATTGCAACGTGATAATTCCTCAATATTTAGCCACAAAAAACACAGGAAAATTTGAATTTGCCAAATTCTAAAATTTACGAAAGTACTCTTAAATAGACTAATTTTAAAAAATTGAACTGACCTTTTTAAGAATTGAGTACTCTGTCGTAAACTGTCACGCGGCCAGTCTGTCACTCGGCCAGCTGTTCCACTCGGCCACGTCACTCGGCAGTCTGTCACTCGGCCAGTCTGTCACTCGGCCAGTCTGTCACTCGGTCAGTCTGTCACTCGATCAGTCTGTCACCGGTCAGTCAGCACTCGTCAGTCTGTCACTCGGTCAGTCTGTCACTCGGCAGTCTGTCACTACGGTCAGTCTGTCACTCCGGTCAGTCTGTCACTCGGTCAGTCGGTCACTCGGTCAGTCTGTCAATCGTCAGTCTGTCACTCGCCAGTCTGTCACTCGGCCGAGTCGTCACTCGGCCAGTCTGTCACTCGGCCAGTCGTCCATCGGCCAGTCTGTCACTCGCCAGTCTGTCACTCGGTCCAGCCCTTTGCTTTCGTCTGCTGCTGCCAGTCTTCCGTCTTGTTCAACGCTAAACTCATTGCTAAGCTTCATCTTAAACCGTTCAGCCAATTTTCTCTGAACATGTGATATTCCCCAATGTTAGATCAAATAGAACTGAAGACCTGTAAGTTCATCTGAATTTTATTTTGCTGATAAACTTACAAAAGCCTCAAATAATACTGTTCCAACTATTCTTAAAAAATGCACAACATTTTTGATTAAATGTTGTATCCGGATAGCGTAAAGGACCTTAAAGAATAGTGCAAGTCTCATACGTTAAAATCTCAGATTTTCGAAAATTCCAAAAGTGCATTTTGGTGCATGGCTTCATAACAAACTATAATGTTGAAGATAGATTTTTTCTAATGAAATCTTTCTCTAAAGCATTATCTTCAAATAGGGTTTCTAAAGGCTATCTTGAAAAAGGCATATTTGAAATATTATTCCAAAGATATTTTCTCATCACCGCATTATTTTTTTCAATTAATTTTTTTCCGCTAACTATAAAGAATGTAAAGAATATGGTTCTAGCCCATTTGGAGACTCCGATATTTTTGAAAAATAGCAAAACTTAACATTTCAAAACTACAAAATTTAATTTAGAAATGTTTTGCCCTAACAGAGAGTTTTAAAAACTCAGCTCTTTAAAACTATATACATCTAGTGCAAAAAACATAAATCGCTAATTGGTGATAAAGATTCTATTAAGAAGGCACTGCGTCTCATTTTCGTCTTGAACTCTTTGAAATTTTCGAAAATTACAGAAATTGAAATAATTACTAGAAAAGTATGTCTGTTGTAGCTACACAAGTTTAAAAAATATTATGTTTATAATCTCTACAATTTATAGTGTGATATTAATTAATTTTTTTTAAATTGAAAATTACAGATTGGTTTGCCTCAAAATGCAATTGGCAATATTTTCTTTGCCGTTCTGGGCTACAAACGAAGAAAAAATTTACAGAAAAAAATGCGCAAAATTTAAAAAAAAGTTATAAAACGCCTTAAATTCACACGTTGAAATTTCGCAAAAAACTATTCGTTTTCTAAAAAAGAAAACATGTATATTTAAAGATATATTTTTTAACAAATTTAAATAAAACAAAATTTTCTTTGTTATCCATTTACAAATTTAATCTCTATAATATATATATATAATATATATATATAGCCACTTTTTTTCTTACCAGCTCCAAATACGGTTCTTGTTCTCTTTCGACAATATAAAAATCCCAAGTTTTCACCCACAGAAATTGTAATTTTATATTTACTACATACGAAGAAAGGCCAAAGAAAGAAACCGTATAATGTACCGTTGTCGGGAATCGAAACTACATTAACAAGCAGCTTCATTTAAAAAGTATTAGAAAGTGTAAATGATGAATTGGAGCTCCAATGATCAGCCTGTAGATCGCTGTGGGTGTGAACTCGTGGCGATTAAAACAAAGAAGGCAGAATATGCTGCACAAATTTCGAACCCGCCTGGCACCGATGATTCCAATGTCTCATCTTACACAGGACCTTTCCTACTCATACATGTATATCCTATCTCTCTGCCCTGCTATTGTAACGTAGGAGCACTGGTTTGGGCTCACTGTGCTGTCATACCTGGAGCCACCCTCCCGTCTACAACACGGTAACGGCATACGAAGTGGATGTTTCTAAGACCAGCTGTTATAAAAGGACACTACCGTGGGCCTCCATGCTAACTCTCTGCGGTACTGCACGGGTCACATGAGGCTGCAATGTTGCCGAAATAAATGTAACCCCTAAAAACGGGCTATGAAGCCACTTCATTTTTATAGGATCATAGTAGATCAGCATATTTTACCAGGACAAAAAGTGCATAAGGAATCGAGATTATAAAATTGTATTAACAACCACCTAAATGATTCTCGAAATCTTAAAAGAGCGTAAAGAAAAAGACGGTACGATTTGACGAATTAAAACATAAAATCTGTTATTTCATCCCGAGAAAGATACAATAAAACTCCCAGTGAAAGATACAAAACTCTCGAATTTAAAATTATCTTGTATTTTAAATTCCAAACGTTGTGAAGTCGTGTCTATTTCCGTATACATAGTAATACGGAGTACAAAAAACAAAGAAATAGTTAAATTCATAAAAGACAAATATTTAATTTTTTTTATTACGCCTCTTCTCACACCTGCCGAGAAACCAATTATTTTTATTATATTCAGTGCGTCACTGCTGACGTTAAAGTTGGAATGTGGGATTTCAAGACTTTAACGAATAGCTGACTATCATAAATATTTCATATTCAATATTTACGTTACGAGCCACAAAGTTTTATTCTTGTTTGTAAAGATTGCTGTACTTAGATAACTATAACAGTATCTCCAATAACATACATATTATTGGATATTTGTCAGTGTAAAAAATATTTTGTCAAAATCTCATTAATTTGCTGCAGTAATTATAGCGATAGTGTGTTTAACTTGTTCTAAAGAATATACCCGCTAATTTTGGAAAATCATTTTTTGGTTTGTTCAGCACGATTTGCTGATGCAGCCTAGTATCCCTCAGTCTGTCCCAAAACGTCAGTTAGAATACACAAATACACTTTTCACACTGCATTCACACTGAGACCCACTGAGACGAGTTTCTTGTAAAACTCAACGGGCGTCGCTTTAGTAAGGGCAGGAGCGATCCCCACTCCCGAAGCGCTACAATCGGATTCCGCAGGCCGCCATGTACTCCGGGAGACACGCGATGTCCCACCCTTTCTCATCACCAGACTAATTGCAGAAAACTCAATCATGAGCACGGAAAACTGCGATGAATCCTAGGAATGCATCGAATATGGCACAGAAAACGCTCCCTCTCTCTTTCTTCCCTCTCTCTTTCTCTCCCTCTCCCTCTCTCTTTTCTCTCCCTTCTCTTCTGCTCCCTCTCTCTTTTCTCTCCCTCTCCTTCTCTCCCTCTTTCTTCTTTCTCTTCCCTCTCCTTCTCTCCCTCTCTCTTCTCTCCCTCTTCTCTTCCCTCTCTCTTTCTCTCCCTCTCTCTTTCTCTCCCTCTCTCTTTCTCTCCCTCTCTCTTCTCTCCCCTCTCTCTTCTCTCCTCTCTCTTTCTCTTCCCTCTCTCTTCTTCCCTCTCTCTTTCTCCTCTCTCTCTTCTCTCTCTCTCTCTCTCTCTCTCTCTCTCTCTCTCCCTCGTTTAAAACGGATGTTTTGATTTTTGAGTTGTTATTTTTTTACAAGAAGCGAACATTTACGTATTTTTGCGTATACACATTCTGCGGAGATGACTGATCGGGGGCTCGGATGTGAGTGATCCGTATCTTCAGAAGTCCTGATGCGGTGAACCAGCCGTGCGAGGATTAGTTATTAGGCGTCCACCGCGCCGTTTCCCGCCGCCCGCCGCGCCGCCTATTGCCCAGACGTCTGTCGGAACTGAAAAGGGTTCTATATCATGTACAGATAGCTCTGCCCTCAAAAGGGATTCAAGACCATACACAAACATAGGATGAGGTTTTCGTGAGCGAACAACTCTGTAAGCATCAATGAAAAATATCAAAAATTCGTCGGTATTCCTTTCCTTAGATTTTTAACACCACCTGACACTTACGCCTCCACGAAAGGCAATACGTACACGGCCGGGGAAAAAAGGGAAAATAATTAATAAAAAGATACAGAATAAGGCAAACTATCAAAAATAGGCAAAAAAGCTACAATAGGCAAAGAGCTAAAATATAAACTAAAATGCAAAGGCAAGGCAAGGCAAGAAAAAGGCAAAAAAATCTCCGGAAGTAAAATTAATGATTGCTATTGTTAAAAGTCCTAGAATCGTAATAATAATAAAAACGGCATATTTGGCATTTTGCCAAACTTTCGGGCTATACTAATGACCAAAACGCATGACGAGCCAGGGAACAAGGAATGAGCGAGTATTTTGTTTCGGCAGGTGATCTGGGTGTGCATCCTGTGCCGCAAGAAGCAGGAGCTGCTGAGCAAGACGGGCCAGTGGATCAAGCAGGGCATGTCACCCGGCGGGGACGCCATCATGCGGCGCATCGAGGCGGACCTGCACGCGGTAGCGCCGGGCCCCATGAGCCTGGGCCTGGGGCGCGACGACCTGCTGATGCCGGCGGCCGGCGACAAGCGGCCCAAGCTGGAGCGCGCGCACAGCGCCGCCGAGAAGGTGAGCCACGCCCGCACTCTTAGATTCCATGCAAGAGGGGTTGGGAAAAGGGTGCTCATGGACAGAGGCTCTTTCAAACTCGTAGGGCACGTAGAGTAGGGATGCGACACCGACAAGAAAACATCGATGTTTCTAAGCATCGACGGTCAAAATTAAAACATCAATGGTAATAAAACACCGACCGAAAACCATTGATGTCATTAAACATTGATGGTTTAAAAACTGGAGTAGTAACCATTTAAGATCATGCGAATGGGGATTTAATTTCAATTTGGTCTCGTTTATTAATTTTCAATTGAGATTTACGTGACAGAACAAAATCAAAAAATTATAGAGGCTTCTTTATTATGGAAAACTCGATTTTATGTATTTTTCATCCTTGGCCACTTTTGTCTAAAGAATATTTAATTTATGGATATCACAAATAATTTAAAAATGTTTATAATGTACATTTTCATTTAAAAAATATCAACCAGGTAAAATCATCAAACACAAAACATCGATGTTTAAAAATCATCGGCATAAGAAATCGATGTTAAATACATCAATGATGGTATAAAAACATCTATGTTTTGAAAACATTGACATCGATGTCGCAATCCTAGTGTAGAGGGGTACATGACATCTCATGGAGAGCGGCAGAAACTGTCGACCGTCTTTTCACACGGGGTTGCCTAAAAATGAGAAAAATTCCTTCATATACAAATACATATAACTAAGTTACGTGCAATTACTCACTATTGGTTCATTAAGAAAAAGTTATCATCTTCGATCCATCTAGGAGTACATGCTTTAGAAGTTTGTAACATTTTTTCTGAGATCTAAATATGAGATTTATTCTATGAAATGCTTGTCTTTTGCGAATTTATGCCGCATTATACGATCATATTCAGGCAATATATGTTTCAAATACCTATTCAAACATGTAAAATAGGTTTATTTAAGTTGTATTCACTTGATATTTTTCCATTTCCAAACACGAAATATTAAGTTTATGCTGTTAGTTTGCATAGTATTTTTTTCTAGAACTAATTCTAGCTGTAAACGAATCCCATTAAAAGCACACACTTACATCGCAAAATTGCATTTACTACCGCACGCTGCGCGACACCTAGGAACTTGATGAGAGCTCCAAGCCCGCAGAATCACTCTGCACAGCTCCCGCTGCCTCTGGGCGAGTGGCGCTCCATGCGCCAATACCTGCCTACGCGCTCCGCGACCGACTCAGAGTCGGTGTTGCAAGGACTGAACGCACTCAATGCAATGGAAATTAACCAAAATTACTAGTGTTTATAATAACATTTATCAGGCATTTTTATTGTCCCGAAATGGAAAAACATATTTACAACGAGCTTATTTAAAATTGCCCAAATCAACGTATCGCGAAATTACCAAAAATGTAGATATAACTATTATTTTCGAACAATATAACAGACGAACCACTATAAAAATGTGTCTTTTATATAAAGTTTTACATGCTTTTGGAGACAAACCAATATAGGTACGTGACTGGTTACATTAGTCGAAAATAACAATTTTATCTACATTATATTCAAATTTTATTATCAGGAGTGCGTTGGATACTTTTGATAAATTCTTGAGTCGTATTATTACTTTTGCAAATAAACTTGAAAACGGTACGAATACTCAAAACGTTAGTCAACTCAAATAAAACTATTAAATTTACAAATAAGACGAAAAACGATGATTTTTGACATTTTAACATACCAGTTAATTACGAAGCATCGAAAATAAAACTATCTCTTGCGTTGATTTCATATAAGGCATGAACATTATACTAAGAAAATGAATTCAGAGTTTTTCCGTTTATATTCTCACATTCCTATTTAGCAACAAGAAACATAAAAATAACATACAATATTACACAAAACAATAGCCAGACAATTCAAAATGGTTATCTCGTCATTTGAAGTACGTGATAAAAGTTCATAATTTCTTTCACATTAGACTCGCTGACTCTTTTTCAAAACTTTCTCTATTTTTTGTATGTATTTTTCACTATTTTGGGGCATTGAATTCCTTATTTTCTTCTCTAATTCTGCAGCGAAAATTTACCGAAGCATTTCAATGGCTTTTGATACTAAGTGTGTTCGTTTTCTTTTTCACAGAAGAATACAATGTACATATTCACAAAGTAAATGTATTTGACCATTGAAAGAACACAGGTGAACATAGCATGAATTGCAGCGTCTGGAAGATTTATTAATTTCTTACCGATAGACAGCTGAGAATGACTGAAGTATGAATTAATTTTTCAAAGCACTGGATACCCAGTACGTGAGCGAAATAGTCTTTATTAATTAAATTATTTACATCCAATAATTTTCAAATAATATATTTTTTGTGTTAACACTACTTGTTTATTTGTTGCTAAATACAACTGTTCTGTAAAGAAGTTAAACAGTCCCTCAAACTTCAAACCCAGCATTCCACCACATCTAAAGGAGATTTGGGTGCTCCGCAATCAGTAACCAACGTGAGAGGAGTGTCGCTATCTCTCTATAGGTCGTAAGTGGCGGAGGGCGTAATAACCCAAATATTCACCCGCTCCCCAAACTTTCAAATTACTTCTCACCCGATTCTTTTGGTCGTCTGGGTGCGTCTTAGCTATATTATTTTTTCGCTCTCAAACTAATAGCTAAAAGTAAAGACTAACATTTTAAAAAATTACAAAATGATGTCATAGAATATAACAAGATTACATAGCATACGCAGTTGCCAAGAAAGTAACAAAGCCACAATAAATAAACAATCATTATATCGCTTCCTTGAAAGACAAAAGAGTTCGCAGTACGCTCTGAGGAAAGCCACAATATGCTGGCCGAAACGTTATCTACCATATCAGTGACGCGGCTCGTCCTGGATAGCCTAGACAATACATCACAATAAGTACACAAAACAGGTCCATGTGTCCCTGCGCTCCCCGAGGGGAGGAAGTGAAATGAACCGGGACAGGACAGATCTCCGAGATTGGCTGTAAAAGAGTTCACAACAACGAAATCTCATTAATATCGTCGTAGAATGGTCTTCCTTCAAGAGCTTAATTGAAAGGAAGAAATTCATGTTCGTCTCAGGGTAACGTAACAATAGGCATTTGCACATAGTTGACACATCTATAGACTCCTAACCTTCCACACCGCGGTTACAATGACTTAAGCTTTCAATTGTAATATCAGCATCGCCGACGAAGATTGCTTCACAGCCAATCCCACTAGTTGTTCTTGATAGAATTCATACCCTCGTAAAGCGTTGCGATGTGTGTTCATGCCAGCTATTTACTGTTGTTATTTTATTGTGGCTCTGTATTCGGTATTCTTACTGCATTCCATTGAATCATTTGGATCGCTCATTCATAGAAAGTAGGACGCCGTACTTTGCGTACGGCAAAGTCGAACTAGTTTGCGGGACGCACACCACAAAGTGAATAAAATACAGGCTACAATAAAGCGAACAGAACGCTCGGGTGTCAGGAATCAATACGGCCGAACCCAAGACTCTGCCCCGGTAAGTGTCCCGCCCCGCGTGCGTGCAGCCTCATGACCGGGCGGCCGCGGGCCCGCGCCGCTTGCCTCCGCAGGAGAACGTGCCGTTGCTGCAGCGCTCGGGGTCGGCGCTGCGCCGCCAGTACTCGCAACAGGAGCCCGGCGTGGCGTCGTCGGGCGGCGGGCGGCGCATGTCGGCGTCGGACAGCGGCGTGGACATGCTGTCGCCGTCGCAGCGCGGCCCGGGCGGCGGCGCGGGGGTGCGGTGCGGCGGCGCTCACTTACCCGTGCAGCGACCCAGGCTGCCTCTGCGCCGTCATCGCGCTGGTGAGAAGACACACTCTCTTACCGCCGGCGAGCCGCGGCGCACCACCGCTCTCCAGGATGGATCTTCCCACCACTCCCACCTCCCCCACTCCGCCCTCTTCCCTTCCCCTCCACCCGCCCACGGCGCCCCAGGCCTTCGCCAGAGCCGCTTCCCCTCGCAAGAATTCGGGCGACCGCTGCTGCCTGCTCGCAAGCCATTCCGCTACAGCACAAGGAGTCCCTAACAACTTCCCGACTACCCCACCACATTTATTGCATGAAAAAAATACCGGAATTTTACGTGAAGCTTCAGTATTACCAATGGAAACACAACAATTTTAATCATTTAGCCTGAAATTATTCTTTAATATGAATACAGTTGACACTCTGTATTTACAAATAGATTATTGTGTCTTCCAAATATCTATTATGCAACAGCATTCCGTGTTATTAGAAAACTACGACAAAAGCAAATGGCGGATATCGTGTTAAGAACACGTCGGTTAACGCCATAGTGCAGGAGGAGTGATATCACTAAGCACAGGAGATCACGTGCTTCTGCTGGAGATCGCCTTGTGTCCACAGCGAATGGAAGATGCAGGATGCTTGGCCGCAGAGCTTCCGGCTGTCTGGATTCAGCATGAGGGAAGCCAGGAAAATTTTCCTTTATATCTTTATATCTAACGATACGCATGATAGAGCTGGTAAACTGGACATTGTATAGGAGGATGTGTTTCTAAAAAAAATGGCCGCACAGTATTTCTTTATTGTATTTTTGTGTCTCATTATCGAGCCCGGAAGTGCGCGGCCAGCGAGTGGGGGTGGGGTTGGGGGGGGCTCCGGGGCTGCTGCGCTGCGCTATTTCTCGCTGTCGCTGCTCTCTGCAGGACGTGCATGGGGGTTGGAGGCAGCTGTCCTCGGAGCTGGAGAAGGAGGCCTGCGGGTGGCGCGGCTGGGGCTGCGCGAGCTGGGCCGTGGGCGTAGGCGCCGGCGGCCGGGGCCCCCGCCCGCCGCCTTCTTGGCGAGCGCTGGCGCTGTGTTCGTTGTTGACGGCGGTCGTGCGCGGTCGGGCGTGCGCGCTGCCGTGCGTAGGGCGGGGCCGCGCCACGTCCATGCCGCCGCCGCGCCGCCGCGCCGCCCGGACCGCCCCGCGTAGACAGCCGCGGAGGGCGGGCTGGTGCTGAGGCCTCGAGTCCCCCCGGTAGTAGTCGCGCGCGTCGGGGTCGTCGGGGGCGCGGTAGGGCCGCGTAGGCCGCGGCGGCGCGCTGGCCGGGTGCGGGCGGCGGGCGGTGCGTCTGCGGCAGCGTGGCCGGGGTGCCGCCCCCGCGCCCGCGCCGCGCGGGCAGCGCCTGCGAGCGACAGCATGTCCACGCGCTGTCCGACGCCGACATGCGCCGCGCCCGCGACAGCCACGCCGGGTCCTGTTGCGAGTATGCGGCGCAGCGCCGACCCGAGCGCTGCAGCAACGGCAAACTTCTCTGCGGAGGCAAGCGCGCGGGGCCGCGGCTCCCGCCGGTATGAGGCTGCACCGCGCGGGCGTGGACACTTACCGGGGCAGAAAAGTTCTTGTGGGGTTTGGGCGGCCCGTATTGATTTCCGCCCCGAGCGTTCTGTTCTTTATTGTAGCTGTATTTTATTCACTTGGTGGTCGGATTATTGTGACGTCGTTTTTTTGTGCGTCCCCCCCGCCGTCGCAACACAGGGTAGTTGTGTGTCTCTTTCGACGTTGCCTGCTTCCCAAAGGTACGGGCCAGGCGAGGCCACTCAATCTACCGGGGGCCCCGTAACGGTCCCTAAAGACTCTGCCCCCCCGGTATAAGTGTTAAAAGAGAGTTTTTGCTCTTGATTTTTGTTTCAATTTAGGATTGCCAACCCCCGGAAGCCAGGCAGCCAATACCCCGACCCAGCTTACAGGTGCGTGCAGCCTCAGCCAACTCGAAACCGAAGAACAACGCAGGGCACGAAGTAGATGGCGCCCCGCGACGGTGAACTCACACTATTTGCCTCACCATCGGGCCAGGGACAACGTGTCCGTGTACGGTGCAGCGCTCGGGGGAGGAAGTGCGGAGCGCCCGCGACACGACAGACATAACTACTCAGGCCGAGAACAAAGGGCAAGCGATGGGCCCGCGGCGTCCCGAGGGTCGTGAGAGCGGGTCAGAGCAAGGGCGAGAAGCGCCATGAAGGGGAGAACCCCCCGTGGTCGGCGTCGGACAGCGGGCGGTGGACGATTGCTAGATCCCACGGAAGCCAACAGGCAAGCGTCGCTCAGCGTCCTACGCCGGTCCGGGGCAGGGCGGCGGCGGGCGCGGGGGCGGAACAGAAGTGGTTGCCCGCATGAAGGGCGCCGGACGAGGGCAAGACCCATGTCGGACGCCGCACCCGCTATGTAAACTGCCGGCAGGGCGGCACGCGGGCCGTGCCACGCCCCGACCAGACCCCAACCCGGCCAGCGACTCGCGCGTCTCGCGGGGGCCTAGTCGGAGGGGGGCACCGCTGCCCGCCTACCGCGGCCGACGCGCACACGCATCGACACTGGACCCGCACGCCGCCTGTAGACCTATGGACTGTGAACCGCGTAGGGGGCGCGTAGCGAGGCAGCTCACGGAGCCCGCCCCCGGCCCTCATTAGCCCACAGCACACCTTGGATGGGCCAGACCGCAGGAACGCGGGGCGGGCGCGGCGGAGGCAAGCGGGGTTCCGTGGCCCAGCGGCGGTCGCGGTGCCACGGCGTGTGTGTGGCGGGAAGGAGCATATGAAGGAGCGAGCGGGCATGGGGGTGGGCTGTCGGCAGACGCTGCAAGGGCGCCGGATGGACGTGGCAGGTGCACGGGGGCGCGATAGTGGCGTGAGACGAGAAGGAAGGTGGTAAAGGGCGTGACGGAGCGGAGGAGGGAACAAAAAAAAAACTAAGACCCCCAACACCCCAAAAAAAGAAGAAGTGAAAGGGAGGACGTGGGGCCCCGCCCCTACGCGCCACGTGGGCAACGCGCCACCGCCCGACGCGGCACGACGCGCCCGTCAACAACAAGAAGCACAGCGCAGACGGCTCGGCAAAGAAGGGGGCGGGGCGGGGCCTGGCGGCGCGTCCGGGCGCCTACCGGCCACGCCCACCTCTGCGCGAGCCCCAGTGCGATATCCGCTGAGGCCCAACCCGACAGTGGGGGGGCCTCTTTCTCCAGACTCCGAAGGACGAGCTGCGCGGTCCGAACCCCCTGAGTGCACGTCCTGCGAGCGAGCACGACAGCGAGAAAGGTGATAGGCGCAGCGCAGCAGCCCGGAGCCCGCCCCCAACCGCCCCGCCATGAGAACACCGCCGCCAACACTACCAACCCACAAGCCGCTCCCAAAACAAGGACATCCAAATCCCAACCACGCCGCACCCCACGCGCTCCTGGCCCTGCGCCAGAAACCTTCCAGGAGCCACCAGGTGTCGCACCAGTAATAATGAGACACAAAAATTTACAAATAAAGGGAGGTGTAAATGACTGTTGCCGGCCACATTTGTTTTTTAGAACAAAAGAAACAAAAATATGGTTCTATACACTGCCTTTCTCAATGGCCTTTACTTGAGCGACACCCAAGCCCTACTAAGAGTGTTTATCGTGATCTGTTGATTTGAATTTATAAAAATGATAAAGAAAATTAATTTCTTCCTGGCTTCCGCTCCATTGCTGAATACCAAGACAAGCTCGCGGAAACGAAAGGCTTCTGCGGCCACTCCGTGCACCATCTTCCCATTCGCCCTGAAACTAAGCAGCACAGAACCAAGCATTGTGAGGCCAAAAACGCACAAAGAAAAGGCAGCCAATCTTTATCCAGGCCAAGAAGGCATACACTTGTGACATTGCCGGTAGTTCACCCAACTCCATCAGACACCTGAAATCCACGGCATGTATCCCCTCGAATCTACATTTGCAAACGTGCGGATCGACAGTGCGAACTGATTGTAGGCATAACCTACAGTGATTGGATTATTTCTGGTTAATCTGAGAAATACTCGTTTATTCCGCCAATAATTCAGAGCAAGCAGGGTATCACCAACAATCGAGGATGCAAGTGGGGGGCCGGAGGACCACGGGAAGGCCAACCCATGGGGGCGACAAAAAGGCGGAGAAACGCTAACATGGAAGAGTGCGGCAAAAAGGGGGGGGCCGCGGCGCCGGAGGAAGGGCAACGGGGGGACACAGCCGTAGACAACCGACGGGCCAGCGGGTGACAAATAGCCAACAACAGCAGCGAGAAGGGGGCGTTTGGGAAGACGAGGAAGGTGGAAAACCGGTAAGGAGAACGCGTAGCAGGGGGCCCGAGCAGGAAAAGGCACCTAGAGGGAAAAGGGACGGCGCGGAGAGAGACGCAGCCGCAAAAAGGGCAGGGGGAGAGGCCGGAGCAGGAGGGAAGGGCAAAAGGCAGAGTACGCGGACAGGACAACAGGAGGGAGAAAGGGCCGCCCCAGGGCGAAGGGCCCAAAAGAATAAATAAGGGTGGAAGGGATTGAAAAGGGGGGGGTAAAAAATATAATCGGAACCACCGCCCCAAACGCGGGCATGGGGTGAAAAAAAGACGGAAATGAGTTCAACACTATAAAGGGCGGGAAACCACAGGACAGACGCGTGGGGAAAAGGGCGGAAGAGGGGGTGAATAGGGGAAGGCGAGAAAAGGGAAGGGCATAAAAAAGGAGAGGCAGGAAGGAGAAGGCCAAAAAAGAAAAAGACAAGAAAAGAAAGGACGGGGATGAGTGGCAGCGCGAGGGGGGACAGAGAATAATGAAAGAACATGTTTGTATGAGTGTAGAATAAGTTTTAATATAAAACGCGTATTTTCCCTCACCTGGTAGGTCTGGAGTATTAACAGATGGAGTATTTAGGCCCACGACTCGTTCCGCGAACCTGTACTGTATCATGGCCGGACCATTCTTTTAAAAAAAAAATTAACATTCGGAATACTATACCTCGGGATCCTATCCCCTCCATCTTTCCGACGGCGAGGGTTTCGCGAGACTACGAGTTGAAGCAGGCGCAATTTCTCACTGGTGTTCCGTGGGATGGTTCGCCGGGGGGAGGCGCGCAGCAACTACGGAAGCGGAGGGTTAAGAATAAAAAAATCTCCACCCTGCAATCTGTCGTTTGCTTCACCCTCTTTTTCCTTCAATGTTCACAAAGGGGATAAAAATAATTCTATTAAAATGAAAAAAGGTATTACATCTGGTATTCTTATGAGAGGGGAATAGGCTTGTAAAAAGAAT